TTCAACAATGATTCAAATAATTTTTCTATTTTTATTTATTTGATTTCTATAGCTGCCCAACAAATCTCAACAAATTTTTGAACCCAATTTTTTGATGGATTTGGCTTATCACACACAAAACAGACCATACACTTCCACAGCTTGAACATAAATTTTTGTGATTCAGAGTAACTGAAGTAACTGAAAATCTGAAGAAATTTTCTGGCAGCATTCTTCAACATACTGCCTATATATTGTATAGTTTGGAATCTCAGTGCAGGTCTAAAAATGTTACAGTACCTCGTCTCCTGTCCACATCAGTCCATTCATCTACACGAAGCATAAAACAGAAAAAATGGCGGGTCAAGTACTAAGAACACACTGAAAACAACGTGGAAAAGAGAAAATAATTGAAGAGGGATGTACTCTGCCACTTAATAAGATGTTGCACAGAAGAAGACAGCTATCGAGGATATTTAAAGTGGCAGTGATATAGGTAGTATGAAATGGAAGTATATACCTTTTCAAGCCCATTTCACACTCTGGAGAAGAACTGCATTTTCCCAGCATTAAAAATTCTTGAAAATGAAGGAACAGTTCAGCAGCAGCTCAACTTTTATGGTGTCCTACTACAAACGTAAAAAATTATTCACAGGGAACCAAGCTATGCTGAGACATCCTCAGATCCACATGGATGGGCTATCGTTTTAGAGCGATTCCATGTTTCTCAACAAGAAAAATCTGCAGAACCAGATTGTTTGATTTCACCTGAAAAGCTAGAAAAAGGAAGCACAACTTGGCCAAATAACCAAAAATTACTACTTTGTTATTTTTCAGTCTCTCCATTTCCCATAAACTATTTTGTTCTCAGAATGCCTAGAGAGGTAAAGAAACCAGTTTGCCCAGCAGTAAATAAACAAAGCTAAACTAAGATCAGATATTTTTGGATCCAGAGGTCCTGAATCTGTGTATGTGTGTGTGAAGGTCTTCCTTCTAGACACATTCATTCGCATGTGAGCTGATTTATCCTCATCTTGATGTTTTGTTTCTTTATTTCACTTCCACACCCCGGTGGTCCATTTCTGATACACAAAGAGTAATACCTCTTAAAGTGAACCCCAGATGTTCTTGTCTCAGAGACCAAGCGGCCGTTCTCCAAAAGCCCAGGAAGCAAGAGCATCCTCAGCCCCTGGAGGGGTGTCTCTGAAGTACCGGGGAGGACTGAGAGCCTCCTACTCAAGGGAACCGGCGCCTCCTCCATAGGAGAGCAGGCATGCCCTGGGGGATGAGGAGCTTGCGAGGGACAGACAAGCCTCTCGGTCTCCCCAGGAGGGGATTCTCCCTGCTTTTCCCCCTCTGCTGCGATTCCAACCGGGTCCAGGGACAAAGGTCGACTACAGCGCTCTCTAATAGGTGTCATCATCAAGAACAATTATGGTTTATGTCCACTTTCACTGCACTTTATTATTGCAAATAAATCATGATTGGATGAACGCCAGCAAAAGCTTTAGTCTGGGGTCAACCCGGGGGGGGGGAGAAACAGAAGGCCCGGCCCTCCTCCCAAGGCGCTGCGGCTGGGCGGACCAGGGGCCCCCGCGGGGAGGGGCATGGGGCCTGCACTTCCGGGGCCCTTCCGGCGGCCTCGACTACCCCTCCCGGCGGCCCCCTGACCTTGGCGCGCCTTGTCTCCCGGGATGCTCTGCGCGCGCAGTCGCTGGTCCACGATGTAGAGCATCTCCCCGCCCAGGTTGAGAACGAGCAGCGGCAGCGTCCGCAGCGACATTGCGGGGAAGTCGAAAGAAGCCGTCCCGGCGTCCTGAGGCGGCGAGAGGGGCGTCGCGTCGCGTCGTCGCCAAGGCAACCGCGAGGGAGACGGCTTCCGGTCGAGGGCCCGCCCTTGCGCGGCACCGAGACGGCCGCATTAGGATTTCCAGAGGCGCGTTCTCGCGGGCGCATGCTCTTTCCTGCTGGCCGGGCGGGCCTGAGAGAAAATGAGGAAGTCGGGAGGGGAGGGGTTAACGAAGGCCAATCGGCTAAGAAGGGGGAGGAGGAGGCCCTCCTCCCCCCCCCCCATTCCCAACCGCCGCGAGGAAAGATGGCCCTTGCCGCTCGCGTCCCTTCAGCTGCGGAGCGCTTTGCCTGCAGGCTCCATCGAAGGGCATCTCGGACGGGCTAATAATTTCAGACATACACCCGGCTTGGTCACCTGTGACAAACTTCTAGCCATGGACGACTCCACCTTTTTATTAGAGGTAGTCTTTGACTTAACAACCATTCCTTTAGTGACGATTCAAAGTTACAACAGTACTGGAAAAAGTGACATGCTAGTTTTTCACACTTAAGACCATTGCAGTGGTCATGTGACCAAAATTTGGATGCTGGGCAGCTGACTCGTATTTAACAGAGTAACAGGAACCTTGGAGGTCTTCTACTCCAATCCCCTGCTCAAGCAGGAAACCCTATCATTCCAGACAAATGGTTGTCCAATCTCTTAAAAATTTCCAGTGTTTGAAGACCCACAACTTCTGGAAGCAAGTCATTCCACTGGTTTATTGTTGTGACTATTAGGAAATTTCTCCTTAGTTCTAGGTTGCTTCTCTCCTTGATAAGTTTCCATCTGTTGTTTCTTGTCCTGCCTTCAGGGGCTTTGGAGAATAGATTTGGAGAATGCCTCTTCTTTGTGGCAACCCCTGAGATATTGGAACACTGCTATCATGTCACCTCTTCATTAAACTAGACATACCCAATACATGCAACCGTTCTTCATATCTTTTAGCCTTCAGTCCCCTAATCATCTTTGTTGCTGTTCTCTGTACTTTTTCTAGAGTCTCAACATCTGTTATTGTCAACTGGCTAGCGAATTCAACATTGAAGACACTTTATGGCTTTGAGGTGCCATAAAAGATAAACTTTATCGAATACACATCTCAGTACTGAAGAAGCAAAATCAAATCTAAGTTTCCTGCGCAAAAATCTGGTTAGTTAACAATAGTTTTCAATAACCCCCACCCACCAAATGTTCACATTGTCACACTTCTTTAGTTTGTTATGAGAGTGGTCCACTTCTCCGTCAGACACCTGCTTTTGTAACCTTGGTTCTCACAGTCTATAGACGGCTTCTTAAAAATCCCATTTCTTTCCCAAGCTTCCCCTCCCCCATTTCTATGGCAAGTTGAGTAGCGACAGAGGTTAGCAAGTATCTTAGCAGTTCAGTCTTGACATGCTGGCCCCCTGAAAAAAAATAAGCATAGGGAAATGATAAGTACAGTTATCCAACCATTTACACAACTTCCTTTTGGACGTTGCAAGTATTTCTCATGAAACTTTCATGTTAATCGATCAGCCTTAACATCCTGGGCTCTCACCCACTCAACATTAGCTAAGGGGTAGCCTCTCCACAGGACTAAGTACTGTAACTTTCCCGTAAAGATCTTTGAAACCAGTATTTTCTTAATCTCACAATGCTTCTCACCCTCTACCAGTATAGGAGAAGGTTCCTCTCTAGCGGGTTTCAGGCTGGACCTTTTGAGAGGCTTCAACAAACTACAATGGAATACTGGGTGAACTCGCTTCAATTCTTTTGGTAACCATAGTTCAACAGTTACTGGATTAATTATTTTCACATTTGAACACTGCTACCATCCCCTGCAATCTAAAAGGCATCATCCTGAACTGGTAGCATCCCAAGGGGCAATTAAAAGCAGTCGTCCGTTCACATAATATGATAATATGCCTCCCTTAAATTCAACTTGTTGAACACCTTCCCCTTGGACAGGTGCCCCAGCATGAGGGGGAGGGGGCATATGTTTTCCACGCATACACCATTAATCTCCCTAAAATCCACGCATAATCTCAGCAACCCATCTTTTTTCTCCTTAAAGAGCACTGGTGCTGCCCTCTTGGATTTAGCTGGCTGGATGAAGCCCCTGGCCAAGTTCTTGTCCACAAAGGCTCAGAGTTCCTCCATCTCCCCCGGGGTCATGGAGTACATTTTTGGTTTAGGTAGTTTTGCCCCCAGTAGCAACTCAATAGAGTCTGTGGGGCGGTGAGGAAGTAGTGCATCCATCTCCCACTCACTAAAGACTTCCGTCAAGTCTCGCTACTCCTTTGGAATGCTTGGCTCTACTGAGCTGCTCTCAGCTAACATATTGGTTGTGTCTGCTTTCACTTTCACTGCCGATTTCGCAGCTTTTCCACCTCCTCCCCCAAGTCCTTTCTCATCTTTAATCCTCAACCATCACTTGTTGCTTTGCCAGTCAATTGATGGATTCCATTTTTTCAGCCAAGACAATTCCACTATCATTGCTTCTGCCATCTTTGGGGCTACAATAAACTGGATAGTCTCTTCATGGCTCCCCACCTTTAGGCTCACTGGCTCAGGCAGGCAGGCAGGTTGCAGGCACCCCGCCCCCAATAAGCGATCCACCCACTTGCTCAAACTTCATGGGTTGTTTTAGTCTCTTAAGCCTTAGTCCCAACAAGTCCACCATTTTCAGGCTGATTAAGCAACAGGTGCACCCCGAGTCTAGCAGGGCTATGAAGACTCCCGTTGCTTCTGATTGGGGGACTACCACCTCCACCTGGGCAGTCAGTGGGGTGATGGCACCACTTAGCATCAGATTGTCTTCCCTATCGCTATCACTCTCATAGAAGACCGGTATAGGCCTGCTGGGGGTCGGAGTTCCCTCCTCTTCGCTTGATTGGGGGGAGACCTCCACGACCTGCTGTGCCACCTGCATCTTTTCCTTTATCTTTTCTGGAATCTTCTTTGGCTTGATTGGCTTGGGGTCCTGGGCATCGACATGGGTTGGGGGGCCAGGCAATTGGCTGCTCAGTAGCCTTCCTTCCCACATTGGAAGCAAGCTCTGGCAGGGCAATGCAGGTTATCTTCAGGAAAGGTAGCTTGAGCCTGCTCCCCTTCTGCAGAGCCCAGTTTCCCAACTGAAAGCATTGCTGGAGTGGTGGGTATCTTATGACTGAAAATGACCCCCCACTTCTTGATGGCACCTTCTGATCCTGACCCACCTTTGTTGTCCTCCTTTGCTATCTAAGATGGAGAGCGAGTATGCACTTCCCGAGCCATTCGGCAAATCTCACACCAGCCACAGAGGCACATCGACAGCGCATCCCTCAAAACGGTGCCCTGCAATGTTCAAGCCAAGGAGATTGTGTCAGATTTGCACGTTTGGGCATTATGCCCTCACATACCAGAAGCTGCATGACTCAGCCTGATGCTCCCTGTTCAGTTTCGGTAGGAGATGAAACAGGAAATCCCCTCTCAGCCCCCTATGAATTACGGACAGATGATGAAAAATATCAGGTGTGTTTATTAACATCTCTATTCTTCTCACATCATCATCATCATCATCATCAT